CACACACTCACACAGGCACATTTGTGTAAACATGTATGTATGCAGGGAAATCGCACTTTCACTTTGGGTAAGATAATTTGCATAGCATTTCCAGAAGGGAAAYGCCACTGGGGCATGAGCAGCGGCTTGCACTTGAGCGGAGATCACAGCCAGAGACATGATAAATTGCTCAAGCACAAATTAAATATATAAATCATAGCGCTCACACACAGGAAATTCAAGCAAACGCATTCCGAATTGCGGCCAGAGTCTCCAGAGCAGTCCAAATTGAGTCCAAATTCAAGCACTTAAACAGTGCTGCGTCATTTGCATGCAAAGGTGCTAAACGTATTAGGTGCATATTTAGTTTTTATGGCACCTGGGGCTAAAAAAAAGAATGGCCTGACAGATAAGAGAATTTTGTCAGTGCAAAACAATGAGATAGAAATTTATGCCAATGAAACTCAAGGTGACGCTAGAGTTACACCCTTTATTTAATAATCTTTATATGAGGGAGACAATATGATGATAAAGATTCTCTCTTAAAAGAGTTAATTAATATAAGATTATGAACCCCATTGACAACATTTATCCAATAGCAATGAGCTATCAGCCAGCATCAATTCTTCCAAAGAGCTTATCATTATAGATATCATATCATATATCGAATCTGCTCATAATTATACGCTATCGATAATTATGCATGCTCAAGCGAATAAAAAGCTCAAAACAATTATAAAAAGAATTTAAAAAAAAAAAATAATAACAATAAAAAATAAAAATAAAATTTATAAGCAAACCTCAACTTGAATCATATTTCAAGCTAATACAACTGTGCCCCATAGATAGGGTATTCTTTTGTGCAAATATAGTTTTATCACACTGAAAGAATAGTAGAGAGCTAAGCCATATACATACATACATATTCTTGGGCTATCACAAGTTCAAGTTTGAAGCATTTGAAGGCCACGCCTTGGCACAGAGGCTGAGCAGGAGTGGAAAGTACGTGTCGTTCAGTTGTTGTGGAACCAGCAAACCGAGAGGAGCCACGATGGACAGCAATGAGGTAAGTGAAGTGGAAAATTCGTTTCAGGAGTCACGTGCTAATCGCAGCGCATTCCGTAAACCTCCCGGCAGTTTATTGACTTTGACATAGGCGCGCCGTGGGGCCGCATCGCCTGCCGCTGGTACGGCAGCCGTCAGGTGCGTCCGCTGCTCGCCATTCACGGCTGGATGGACAATATGGGCAGCTTTGCACGTCTTGTCCCATTGCTGCCCGGCCATCTGGGCGTCCTGTGCATCGAGCTGTCTGGCCACGGTCGCTCCTCGCCGTATCCGGCTGGCATGCAGTACTCCGTCATTGAGTGGACCAGCATCATTCGCTGCGTGGTGTTGCATTTCAAGTGGAAGCGCGTCTCGCTGATGGGCCACTCGTTTGGGGCCATCGCCTGCAATTTGTATGCCTCGTTCTATGGCCGGGATCACGTGGATATGCTGATTGCCATCGATCTGCTGACCATACCCTACAAGAGCAGCAGCTTCTACATCAACTATCTGGCCAACAGCGTGGAGCGCATGCTCACGCCCACGCCAGCGCCCAAGCTGTATACCGCGGATCAGCTGAAGAACGCGCGCTGGGGTCCAGCTCCCACGATCAGCAAGGAGCAGGCTCATCCGCTGATCGATCGCTGCGTGCGGCAAGCGCCCGATCAGCCCGAAAAGTTCTACATATTCCGCGACTCGCGCCTCATCCACCACTCGCTCTTCCCACCCGGCACCGGGCTGGTGAGGGAGCTGAATCGGCGCATACGCAACATACCCTACATGGTCATCAAGGCAAGCAACTCCAACTTCATCAACGACGGTTTCATACCGACCTTCGAGATTCTGCGCAAACAGAATCCCGCCTTCGAGTATCATTTGGCACAGGGCCCTCACCACGTGCTCATCAGCGATCCCCAGCAGCTGGCTGCCTGGATTGTGCCATTCATAAACAAGCATCGACCGCCCACTCGATGGGAGCATCCAGGCGAGCTGAATGTGATCAGCAAGCTATAAAGAGTTCAAGAATTGAGCTTAAAGTTTCATTCTCTTTTCAACACAAGTTCTGGGAATACACATAAATATTTTAAATATTCCAATTGATATTAATATTATAGTTTATATATACGAATAGCAATCCATAAATTTTTCTATCTATTGTATCACATCGTCTTTATCTCTTTCCATCTCTTAACTAGGTTCCCATGGATAGACTTGCGGTAGGTTTTGGCATCGTAGCACTGAGATTATTTAAAACAAGCTTTTGGTTTCAGTTCAAGAGACAGAATATACACAATATTTCCATTCCCAGAGAGAAAGTTGGACAAACACTTCAAAAAGTCCCATAAGATAAACAGCAGCTGATTTCATTAATTTCTTCTTACGCTTTTTGCGATCAACGTTGAGCTTTTGAAAGCTTTCGCACTCTGCAGAAGCCATGGAAAGCTTTTCCTCGTCAGTGTTTGACCAATTGCTTGACTGAATGGAAGCAATCGGTTTGCGAATATTTTTTGCAAAAATTGTTGACCTAATAAATATACATATTTATATTTATATATGTATGTAATACACGATTGACCAACTGCGGAATGTTCTCAGCAAAGGCAGCAGCAGCTCCGTTCCGCCAGAGCTCGCTCATCATTTGCTCAACCGCTGCGTGGCCCCATCTATGCTGTATCCGGACAAATTCTACTTTACAAAGGATAACCGTAACAAGTTCAACAATTTATTTCCGGCCACTGTTGCATTATTCAGTGAAATGACAAGGAGCATCAAGAACAAACCCATTCTCATTATAAAGGGATCGAAGTCTAACTATATAAGCTCCAGGGATAGCGAGGCAATCTCCATCCTAAAGGAGCAGAACCCGCTCTTCCAATTTCACGAGGTGCCAGGCACCCATCACGTGTATCTCGTTAACTCCGAGCTGGTTGCCCAGCACATAGTTCCCTTCTTGAGAACCCATCGCCCGCCCAAGATCTCCAGCTGGTCAGTGGATGGCGAGGAGTTAAGCACGACAGGGTATCACAGGCAGCAGGAGAACTTCTTTGCAAGACATGTGAGGCGTCTCAGTCTGGGAGAATCTCAAGAATATTACACAGTATATATTGACTATAAGGTAAATCTAAAAGAAAATTTAAGAAATTGTGATTTTTTTAATGATAATCTATTAAGTGAAATTTAGTTTTGGATATTTGTCTTGGTAACTGGATAATTAAATTTCTTGACACTGCATGGCATAGCCTTATCTATGAAAATTCACCTTTTGAATTGCTACAGCTACAAAATCCGTTACAAGCTTTGAAGTAATACGAGTATTCTGCAGCTTTCGAATAATACAAATTATTTCTACTGAGCAGCTGTAAGGCAAAGTGAGCAACAGCTGATTTAGTTTGTTTATACATGGCAAACTAAATCAGCTGTGCCTCGAAAAAGCTTTCTACTACAGTTGCGATCGTAAATAAGCTTTCGATTGGTACACAAACGACGCAAAGCTTTTTGCGCTCAGTACGCGACGAATTTTCTTAGCGAGAAGAGAAGGCGGATTAGTTGTTTTGCTTTTGCGGCATTCATTAACTGGGAATGGTACGATGTTCATTAAAAAGTACTAATTGCTCGTCGATAAGGCAATCTAGAGCCAGATAATTAGGAAAAACGTTTTGCAGCTCCGAAACAAGCAGCCAAGACATTTATAAACAGACGGCCAAAGTTCAGGGAGCCACATGGGAACTTTGTCACTGAGCGACGTGAGTAAACACAATTAAAAGCTTCAGCCGGCTGGCTGGCCATGCAATTTACGTTGTTTATACACTGTTCAACATGAAAACGTTTCCTCTGTGACACTTGATAGTACGAGGATGTGCGCATCTGGGCTCCTTGGGGTCACATTGCGGGTCGCTGGTATGGCAATCGATCGGAGCGTCCCATTCTGGCCATCCACGGCTGGCTGGACAACCTGGGCACCTTTGATACGCTGATACCCTTGCTGCCGGACTACCTKGGCGTGCTCTGCATCGATCTGCCCGGACATGGACGCTCCTCACGGCTGCCACCGGGCATGCACTACAGCACAATGGAGTATGTCCTTATCATAGCTCGTGTCATGAAGGAGTACAAGTGGCARARGGTTTCGCTGATGGGCCACTCCCTGGGCGGCGTCTTGAGCTACATTTACACCGCACTCGCGCCACACACAGTGGATCTGGTTATCGCATTGGACATTCTCTTGCCGCCATTTGAGTCCCCTATGGCTCTCAAGTATTTCGGATATGCCCTGGACAAGCATCTGGTGGAGGATGAGCGTGCGGAGGAGGATTCGCTACATGAGCCACCGTCCTACACGCTGGCACAGCTCCGCACTGTCCTCAGCAAGGGCAGCAACAATTCGGTTGCCCCAGAGTTCGCTCAGCATTTGTTGCATCGCAGCGTGGCCAAGTCGCAGCTGTATCCAGAGAGATTCTACTTTTCAAGGGATGGCCGCACCAAATACTATAATATTCTACCGGTCAACGGCCCCTTGGCCGCTGAATTGGCTAAGCGCATCAAAAATAAACCCTACCTGGTCATCAAGGCATCCAAGTCCCATCATATCAACTCAAAGGCAAACGAGGCCATCTCCATCCTAAGCAAGCAAAACCCGCACTTCGAGTACTACGAGGTGCCAGGCACCCATCATGTGCATCTGATCAGCCCCGAGCTGTGCGCCCAGTACATAGTTCCCTTCCTGAGACACCATCGGCCGCCCACGGTCTCCAGCTGGTCAGTGGATGGCGAGAAGAAGCTGAGCACAACGGAGCATCGCAGGCAGCAGGAGAACTTCTTCACGCGACACCTGAGGCGTCTCAGCAAGCTTTAAGTATTGTAATTGTAATTGCCAAGAAACCTGTACAGTATATACTGAATCGATAAATACTCTGTGAAATTCATGGAAAGCTTTTTCTTCAAGTGTATGCCCTCAGCTGAAACCAGGGCTGCAGATATGGGGTTAAATCAAGTGCCTGCATCTGATAAAGATACTCAAACAATAATGCTATATAAATAGGCACGAACTATGATAATCATCGTCAAGAGGGCAGCTTTTTGAAGTCGTTTTGCTGTGGCATTGTAAAAGCTTGATTAGTCAGCATTATGGGCTAAGAATAGTCAGTTTCATTGATTTAAATGAACAGTAGATATTAACTAATTAAAATCCAGTGCTTATCGAATCCATTGTTCTTCATAGTACAGATAATAGAATAGAACCCCGGGCGGTTTCCATATAAGCAGCTAGTTTCAAACAGTCAGCAAAGGCCATCGCAGCTACCATGGGAACGCTATCATTGAGCAATGTGAGTAATGCGAACTGAACCCAACTGTTTGGTTGGGGATGCTTGACAATTCATGTGAACTTTGGAATTCCGCAGTACGAGGATGTGAGCATTGAGACGCCCTGGGGTGAGCTCAGCGGTCGCTGGTACGGCAATCGCTCGGAGCGTCCCATTCTGGCCATTCACGGCTGGATGGACAATCTGGGCAGCTTTGATAGGCTGATACCCTTGCTGCCGGACTATCTGGGCGTGCTCTGCATCGATCTGGCCGGGCACGGGTGCTCCTCTTCACTGCCGCCTGGCGTGCATTACAGCGCGGACGATTGGATCCTGACCATTGGACGGGTGATGAAGGCGTACAAGTGGCAGAAAGTATCGCTGATGGGCCACTCGCTTGGCGGCATACTGAGCTTTATTTTCACGGCCCTGGGGCCGCACAGGGTGGACCTGCTGATCACACTGGACGTACTTGTGTCCCCATTGGAATCTGCTGAGAGCATCAAAATGATGGCCAACTTCATGGAAAGGCATCTCGTGGAGGAGGAGCGTGCTGCCCTGGCTGGGTTGAGGGAACCGTCCACCTACTCACTGTCTCAGCTGCGCCATATGCTTAGTAAGGGGAGCAACAATTCGGTGCCGCCGGAGCTTACTCATCACTTGATGTACCGCACTGTGGCCAAGTCCAAGCTGTATCCAGATAAGTTCTACTTTACCAGGGATGGGCGTACTAAGTTCTATTCCCTCCTGCCGATGAATCCAGGGCTGGCAGCCGAGCTGGCACGCTGCATCAAGGACACGCCCTACCTCGTCATTAAGGGCTCCAAGTCGTCCTTCATCGGGCCAGCCTGCGATGAGTCTATTTCCATCCTGAAGAGTCAGAATCCGCACTTTGAAATCTACGAACTGCCTGGTGCTCACCATGTGCATCTCACCTGTCCAGACCTTTGCGCCAAGCACATAGTTCCCTTCCTGAGACGCCATCGGCCGCCCAAGGTGGAGGGCTGGTCGCTGGCTTACGGAGATGCCGCCCTCAGCGCCCGGGAGCACCGCGAGGCGCAGGAGAGATTCTTTGCAAGGAGCCAGAATCGACAGCATAAGCTGTAAGAGGACGCAAGGGAAATGGCCAATCGGCAACTGCGAAAAGCGGCGATAATATGGATGATGCTAAGAGAGCACTGGGGAGTACATAAAGATGCACAAGTATGCAAGGAAACATGAACTTAAATATATAAAATACCTGATCAAGATGCCAAGCTTTTCACTTAGTTTCGCTGTACAGAGGAGCTCTACAATTTGTTGGCTTTTCTATTGGTGGGTATGTGTGTAAGTGTGTGTGTGTGTGTGTGTGTGTGTGNCTGATCACACTGGACGTACTTGTGTCCCCATTGGAATCTGCTGAGAGCATCAAAATGATGGCCAACTTCATGGAAAGGCATCTCGTGGAGGAGGAGCGTGCTGCCCTGGCTGGGTTGAGGGAACCGTCCACCTACTCACTGTCTCAGCTGCGCCATATGCTTAGTAAGGGGAGCAACAATTCGGTGCCGCCGGAGCTTACTCATCACTTGATGTACCGCACTGTGGCCAAGTCCAAGCTGTATCCAGATAAGTTCTACTTTACCAGGGATGGGCGTACTAAGTTCTATTCCCTCCTGCCGATGAATCCAGGGCTGGCAGCCGAGCTGGCACGCTGCATCAAGGACACGCCCTACCTCGTCATTAAGGGCTCCAAGTCGTCCTTCATCGGGCCAGCCTGCGATGAGTCTATTTCCATCCTGAAGAGTCAGAATCCGCACTTTGAAATCTACGAACTGCCTGGTGCTCACCATGTGCATCTCACCTGTCCAGACCTTTGCGCCAAGCACATAGTTCCCTTCCTGAGACGCCATCGGCCGCCCAAGGTGGAGGGCTGGTCGCTGGCTTACGGAGATGCCGCCCTCAGCGCCCGGGAGCACCGCGAGGCGCAGGAGAGATTCTTTGCAAGGAGCCAGAATCGACAGCATAAGCTGTAAGAGGACGCAAGGGAAATGGCCAATCGGCAACTGCGAAAAGCGGCGATAATATGGATGATGCTAAGAGAGCACTGGGGAGTACATAAAGATGCACAAGTATGCAAGGAAACATGAACTTAAATATATAAAATACCTGATCAAGATGCCAAGCTTTTCACTTAGTTTCGCTGTACAGAGGAGCTCTACAATTTGTTGGCTTTTCTATTGGTGGGTATGTGTGTAAGTGTGTGTGTGTGTGTGTGTGTGTGTGTGTGTAAGTGTTGCAGCAAGTTTAAGCTGCTAAGCGCCTTAGAACAATTAGCCAAGTCAGCTTTGAATGGCAACGCTTTGACTTGCCAAAGTTCAACATGAAACAAGAAATGGCTGACAGCCGGCTTAACACATAAGCCCGAAGATATGAAATTTTCGAATTTTCCGAAGGCTGACAGGATAGACATTGAACAATTAACCACATAGACTTGCAGGCACTTAAATAACACGAAATGTAATCAATTGCAGGCTGATGAGCATTTGAGAAGAATCATTTCATTGTTGGCGTGACAACAAAAGCGTTGCCTACTTTTCGGCGGCAGCGGCAAATATTAATTTCTCGCAGCCGCAAAACATTTTCGTTGCCTACTTTTAGGTGGCGCATAGTAACGTGGAACGAAAGCAGAGAGAGGCGCGTGCCTTATTTAATTTAAGCAATTGCGGTAATACACTGTAAAATGTGTTTAAATTAGGCTGCATTCGAGTTGGCTAATTTGTATAACAAATGAAGAGTTTTATAGGTATGAATAGTTGAACAGTTCAAGTCAAAGGATTGCTTAAATAACAAGTAGAAATACTTTAAAGGTAATTTAGTCAAGTTAACATCAAACACTCAATATGTAGCTTTAAGTGATAGGGTATTTACCATTCGCATCGTCAATACGCTTCATTTCCTCGCTGGTGTCCTTGGCAGCGTGTGTGTGGCAGCGTCTGGCGCGGCAGCAGCTGCCTCAATKGCTGAATTYCAAATAAGTATTTGCTTTCGCAGCGCATAATTTTCTTGTCATACATTTTGATTGCTGATATTAATATTTATGCTTAAAGTTCCGCYGTAATTGCACGGAAAATTCAATCAATTAACAGACAAATTTCTCGCATATTTTGCGTACGTTGATTAAACAACAACAATATGAAAACACTATCGATTTTACAATTTGCCAGCGTCTCTCTCTCTCTTACTCTTCCTCTCCTGCTCCCTCACTTACTCACCCACTCTCATCGCCGCAGGAGGTCGTCGTGTGTGCCTAGCTGAAGCCATAAACGCTTAGGCATGGCATGGCATATGCCCAGATTTTTAATTTAAGGGCCCGCAGCAAGCAAACCTGACAGCTTTTATGACGAGCAGCGTTTTCGTCTACATTTCGCCGAAATTCACGCAGCATTCTTTTAGGTGCGCGTGTATTATATTAAGTTTGCCAAAAAAGGAAATTGAAAATTTGGGGCTCAATTTGCTAAGCGACTAAACGACAGCCAATCAGGCTTAAATCGAAAGTTCAATAGACTTGGGCTGGATTTGGCTGCCAGTGAAAGACATTTTCAGGAAGAGAAAGGATCTATAAACAGCAGGAGTGCAAGAGAAGGAGAGGGGGAGAGGAAGTATCTGAGTAGAAAGCTTATTAACCGCACCTAACTCTACACCTATATTATCCGAGAGGGAGAGTTTACGTGTATATATAGACAAGCTAAGAGCTCTTTCTGGTCTCTGAATTCTAGATTTAATTTTTGCAAGTTCTCTTTAGCTCACCATTGCAAATCTATGATGAACGATCTATAAAGAGTGAGAGAGATAGAGAGTTCTATAGATCTACTGTTTATAGAAATTCGAGAGAGAGAGAGAGAGAGAGAGAGAGAGAGTAAGAGAAATAGAGTGTTCCATAAGCAAATCTCATTTCATTGATTCCACAACCATATCAACTCTTTAAAGAGATTCAATTAAGCCTAGGCAAATAGCATTAGACTTTGGCTCTCACACACATATACACACACACATGCACACTCGCTCGCACGCACGCATCGATGCCTTGCAATGAAATGGAAAAAAAACCCTTAAGCCAAATGAATTATGCATGTTAAGGCCATCACATTGAGCAGCAGCAGCGATAGCTGGCCGCTTAATAAACTGCAACTGGAGCCGCTGCTGCTTAAAATTCTAGTTGTGCAGCTCTCGACGCAGCAATAAATCTGAAATTGCACTCAATTGCTGCAGAGCATGCAACGCAGTTGCAGTTGCAGTCAGCGTCGCTGCCTACGTCGACGTCGACGCAGACGTTTGTTTAAAACGTGCGCGCAATTTTCGCAATTTTCTAATAGCCGCTAACGCATTGAGCCAGAGTCGGAAACAGTTGGGCGTGCAGCGCTACTATATTGAGGCTCGGTTATTAAAAAATGGAGAGAAAAACTGGTAAAGGAAAGGGAAAACAAGCCGAAAAACATTTCACGTACGTTACGTTTGCCGAGCTGCATATGGAGGGGGTTTTTGTTTTGCAACTTGGCCGGAAGTGCTTTGGACGCCATTTTGCGGTCAGCTTTTATGGCCAGTATGCAGTGCAATTGAGAGTGCAATGCCGGCCACAAACTGTACGCCGAGCTCCTTGAATGCCCTTTATCAGCTACGTGCCCATTTAACCCATCACGCGCTTTAACATCCATCTCCGACCAAAACGAGAGAGAGATATACAAAAAATGGCAAAATAACGCGCCTATGCTAGAAAATTGCCAATAAATTGTTGCTAAGCAGCGACTGCGACTGCTGCTGCGACAGAGGCAGCGGCTGCGACAGCGGCAGCGCTCCTGGCCATGGGCTTAGGCAACAGCTTTGGCTGCGTCACGGCTTCGCCTGGCCGTCTGCTTGCTGACGCAGCAGCCATTTGCCATTTGCATTTTCTCGCCATCCATCGACCCACATTCCGGGCCGGCCATTAAGTCCTGCTACAATTTACTTGTGATTGACATGTTTATAAGGGTCGCACAGCAGGACCTTTGCGGCGCTGGCCGTGAGTCCTTTTTCCGTTTCCCTTTTCTAAGGGGATTGCTGTTCCGTTGACGCTGTTGCCATAACAAGTGAAGCCTACAAACTGGTCTTCGATGCCAGCGCCATAAATCTTTGATATTTGCACTGTCCAGAGCATACTAAATATCCTTTTGCATTTGCAAGTGCTTTATAGAGACAGCAGCGGCCAGACTTCGAATTCCACGAATCCCATACGCACACACAATTAAAAGTTCCCACGTTTGCGGCCGCATGAATAAAACAACAAGGGTGAAATGCCAGATGAGTGGAGCTCATACAGACGATTGCATATGCTAACCATCCAGGAGAATGAATGAATGGAAGATTGAGATTGAGAGTTTTGGTATGGGTAGATGTGAGGAAATGGGAAATGGGATTTTACTGAAGCATATATATAAGAGAGNCTGCGTCACGGCTTCGCCTGGCCGTCTGCTTGCTGACGCAGCAGCCATTTGCCATTTGCATTTTCTCGCCATCCATCGACCCACATTCCGGGCCGGCCATTAAGTCCTGCTACAATTTACTTGTGATTGACATGTTTATAAGGGTCGCACAGCAGGACCTTTGCGGCGCTGGCCGTGAGTCCTTTTTCCGTTTCCCTTTTCTAAGGGGATTGCTGTTCCGTTGACGCTGTTGCCATAACAAGTGAAGCCTACAAACTGGTCTTCGATGCCAGCGCCATAAATCTTTGATATTTGCACTGTCCAGAGCATACTAAATATCCTTTTGCATTTGCAAGTGCTTTATAGAGACAGCAGCGGCCAGACTTCGAATTCCACGAATCCCATACGCACACACAATTAAAAGTTCCCACGTTTGCGGCCGCATGAATAAAACAACAAGGGTGAAATGCCAGATGAGTGGAGCTCATACAGACGATTGCATATGCTAACCATCCAGGAGAATGAATGAATGGAAGATTGAGATTGAGAGTTTTGGTATGGGTAGATGTGAGGAAATGGGAAATGGGATTTTACTGAAGCATATATATAAGAGAGAAGCAATAAAAGAAGTAGTAGTAGTAGTAGTAGTAGTAGTAGTAGTAATAGTAATATTAGTAGTAGTAATAATAGTATTAGTTGTAGAAATAGTAGCAGTAATAATAGTATTAGTAGTAGAAATAGTAGCAGTAATAATAGTATTAGTAGTAGAAATAGTAGCAGTAATAGTAGTAGTGGAAGCATAAGTAATAGTAGTAGTAATAGTAGTAAATGTAATAGTAGTAGCAGTAGTAGAAGTATAAGTTATAGTTGTAGCAGTAGTAGAAGTATAAGTAATAGTTGTAGCAGTAGTAGAAGTAGAAGTAATAGTAGTAGCAGTAGTAGTATTTATGATTGGAGATGATCTAAGTGTCTTGGAATATTTTCTATAATGCTAACAAAAATTATGTTTATATGAGATGATTATAAAACATATAATTATATAAATAAAGGGTTTTGGTTGACTTCCCTTTAAAATGCTTTCAGCAGATCTTCTCAGTGCCTTTTCTAAGCCAGCTTCATAGCTAATCTATCCTCCTCAAGTAAAGTTCAGCAACTGCACACACTTCGATAACAACTGCAGCAGACAAAACGCATGTTTTGCTTTTAATTTAGCAGACAGCGAAGAAACCTCAGCTTCGACTCACCTGCGAACAGGTTTTTATGTGCAGGCAGACAATAAAAATAAAAGCAAAACACTGAGAAAAGAAAAAGGGCAATCGCAGCAGCAACTATCCAATTGATATGCAAGCGAGGGGCAAGTGAAAAACAGCTGAGCCGACACGCAACGCCCTCGGGCCAACAGTCAGCAGCCACACAACGTCCAGCAAATCGCTTGCAACTCAAACTCAAACTCAAACCGGGTTGCAAAGCGCGCGGCGCAGGCGCCAAGCAACCTACGAAGCGACGAAGCGAACTTTCAGTTGAGCGCGCGAGCTGTTGGCCGGCGCACGCAGACGACTCCAGCGAGCGAGAGAGATCTGTTACGGGTACGACTGTGGGCGCGGGGGCACGGGCTTTATTACGGGTTTACCGTCCAGCGACGGAGCAAGTGCAATTTTGAAAGTCAATAACTCGAACTGTGCCGCAAAAAGCGCTGAACTGGAATTTAATGTCAAATTACAATTTGAGTGCCGCATAAAAAGTCCAAAAGCCAAGGCAAAATCTAAATAATTAATTACACCAAAATTGTAATGAAGCCAAAAGCCAAAAGCCGAAAAAAAACCAAACCAAACAGAACAAAAAACATTTGTCAGCTGTTAAAACAAATTTTTTGGTCGAAATGCTAATGGGTTTCGTGTTGCTGTTGTTGCTGTTGTTGTTGCTGCTGCTGCTGCCAGTTGAACTTTTCAATTAATTTAACAGCTCGAACAGAGACGTCGCTCATTTTCGCTTGGCCCGCATAGATCTTATCGCCGTATCATAAAAGCAAAGTAAAAGAGTTCTTAAGAAAGTTACAGAAAAGCGCCACAAAACGGTTTCTCATTTGTTTTTTTTTTTTGGTTTGTTTGTTTTTTTTTTCTCTCCTGTCTATTTTAGTAGCATATTTAACTTGCCGCAAGGCCTGAAAACCGCCTGCTAAGGTGTGCCCCAAACAAAAGCGGGGCATTAAATGCCCAGCAGGGCCTACCTAACTGCGTCTCTCACTGTCCCTCTCTCTGCCCCTCTCTGTCTGTCTGTCTGGCTCTTTCTAAATTACTTCTTTATTTTTGAGTATTTTGTTTTTTTCTTTATAAATTTTTGCCGCGTTGCTACTTTTTGCCCCTGCAAAATTATTCAATTTGAATCTGACATTTGAAACTTGAAATTCATGTTGCTGCTGGAAGTTGATGTCGAAGTTGTTGCCTTCGCTGCTGCTGCTGCTGCTGCTGCAATTTTCGTCGTCGTTGTTGTTGTTAATTGTAATTCGATGCGGAAGAAGCAGCGA